TGGCCGTCCACCATGATGGGTGGAGGGCGCTCGTATGGTCGTCCAGCGAAACGCTCAGACGATCTGCGGTAAGGACGCAGTAACGAGACGTGGTAGACATCATGCACACGAGCCTAGCATAGGTAGTCGGGCAGCTTCACACGAAAGTTGACCGGGCTAGATGCCGTATCAGAACTGACGGTCTGGAGGATGCGGCATGGGCCAAAGAAGCGACGCCGAAACTTGCGAAGCGTGTCCGCTTCGAGTAGTAAGTGGCGGGCGTCGATAAGCACATCATCACCGACCTTGAATGGGTGATCCATCCTCGATCGGTTCGCACGTGCTGCCATGCGAGTCTGGGAAGCGGCTATGTGCTCATGTGCGGTYTTCATAATCGACGTCATGTGTGCAACCCAATCATCCAGCGCRGGACAACTCGTGTCRGGGTGCATCTGGGACGGTCGAAGGAAGTCCGCGGGAACACGCGGGTGATAGCCGAGGTCGCAATAGTAAGGCGACATCCCCGTGGCTGGCGAGACGGCGTGGTTGTAGGCTATCTCCGCGTGGGCAAGATGGAGATCCCACTGCTGGTCGTCACAAACAATCTTTCAGAGAATATCCCCGAGAGTCCTGTTCGTGATCTCGGTCTGACCATCAGTCTGAGGATGGTAAGACGAGGAGAAGCGGAGCTGAGTGCCGTACACCTCGTGGAGTCGTCGCCAGAATCGGCTGGTAAAGTGCGGGTCACGGTCAGATATGATGCTCAGAGGTAAGCCGTGGTCACGCACGACTCGGTCAAATACGATGTCGGCGACCTCACGTGCACTGATGGCATAGCGGCACGGAACAAAGCGTGCACGCTTCGTGAAGCGGTCGACGACGACCAGGATAGCATCATGACCGCGGGGGGTCGGAGGTCGAAGAGGGCCGATAAAGTCCATCGAGATGGACTGCCAACGACCCTCGGGGATAGGAAGAGGCTGGAGCAAACCATAAGGTAGGTGGTTCGCACTCTTCACCTCCTGACAGGTGGGACACTCTGCGACGTAGTCCTTCACAAAGTCCTTGCGCTTCGGCCAGACGTACAGGCGGCTCACACGAGCTAACGTCTTGTGGAAGCCCATATGACCGGCAGCTGCCTGTTCATGGAACTCTACTACTGCTCGGACACGTAGCTGTCCAGTGGAGGGAACGCAAATACGGGGCTCTCTGGTGCCCTGTGAACCGTGCTAGTACACAAGACCGTTGTCCCCGAGAGAGTAGTTCGGGACGGTCTTGCCACTCCGAAGGGTCGCGTGGATGTCGCGATAGTCGGGGCAGTGGCGGTACTGAGTGCGAAACTCGTCGATCACCGAGTGGTGGACGGTGGTGACCGAGATGGAAGAGAGCTGGATGTGCTCCTGGTCGTGGTCAGGGCGCCGGGATAGGGCATCTGCGACCCGATTAGTCTCACCCTTGATGTGCGCAGTGGTGAAACTAAACTCGGATAGGTCGCGCCACCAGCGAGCCTGTCGAGGAGTGAGCTTCGGCTTTGTCAGAAAAGCCTGGACAACAGAGTTGTCCGTGCGCACTGTAAATGGTGCCCCGTGCAGGTAGTGACGCCAATGCCRAGCGGCATAAACTACTGCGAGAACCTCACGTTCATCAGCAGTGTAGTTTATCTCGGCGGGCAGGAGCTGACGGGAGTAGAAGGCTATCGGACAATCACCTGAGCGAGACTCGACAGTGCCGTCCTCGGCGATGGTAGGAGAATAGTCAATAGAAGGCTCGTCAGTAGCTGGACGAGTAGGCGTCAGTCGGGAAGCAGTGGTAGGGGTAGGTGGTGGGAAGCGAGGGATACRAGSATGAGAGGAATCAGGAGRTGAAGGRAAGACCTGAGAAAGCACTGCTCCTACAGCGAAGTCTGACGCGTCGGTGGTAAGGATAAAAGGGCGGTCAAAATCGGGTAGGTGAAGAACCGKTGCGCATGTCACCGCCTTCTTGAGGGCGCGGAAGKCGTCCTCGYGGAGGGGTGTCCAAGCCYAGGGTGGGTTCKTCCGGAGGAGGGTGGAGGTAAGGACGTAGGAATACCTAGCGTATCCCCGGATGAAGTTACTATAGTAGCTGGTCAGGCCTAGGAAGCTGCGAAGCTGCTTGGCGGATGGGGGAGCGGGCCACTCCGCAATAGCAGTGATCTTCGTGTCGTCCATGTGGAGACCCTGGTCADACACGTAGTGTCCTAAGAAATCCACTTTGTGCTGGGCAAAGCGGCACTTGCTAAGCTTGGCGTAGAAGCCATGTCTGCGCAAGCGGTCAAGGACGTCGCAGAGGTGTCTGAGGTGCTCCTCAAGGGTACGACTATAGACCAGGATATCGTCGAGGTAGACGAGAACGTACTGCTCCAGGATGTCCCTGAAGATGTCGTTCATCGCCCTCTGGAAGGTAGCGGGTGCGTTGGTGAGGCCGAATGGCATSACCGTGAACTCGTAGTGGCCGAATCGCGAGCGGAACGCGGTCTTCGGTTGGTCGGTTGCAGCGACGCGGATCTGATGGTAACCGCTACGAAGATCAATCTTCGTAAAGAAGCGGTTGCCTGCTAGGCGGTCGAACAGCTCATCGGAACGAGGCATGGGGTAGTTGTTCTTAACMGTGTAGCGGTTAAGGCCGCGGTAGTCRATSCAGAGACGAAGAGTTMCATCCGCTTTGCGAGCAAAGAGGACGGRTGCACCCCACGGGGAGTTGCTGGGTTTAATGAAACCCAGTCYCAGGAGCTCCTCAAGCTGACGCTTGAGTTCGGTGGCCTCGGGGATCGAGAGTCTGTAGGGTGCCTGGTGGTGAACACGATATTCAGGCACGAGCTGAATGGAGTGCTCGACGTCACGCATCGGTGGGATGCTGGCGTACGAGAACGACGATGGGAAAACGTCGTGGTACTCTCGGATGAGGTCACGAACTTCGGGCTCCAAGTCACCCGTATATCGTGCGAGTTCCTCAGCGTCAGCGTCAGCGCGCGACAGCGGGGTGGACTCGACGGACGGCGGAGGGACGGAAGTAGAGATGGGAGCCATTAAGATAGAGGGGGGATCTGGGTCCAAAGGGATGAGCTCGGCGTCGGGACAGGGTGGATCATAGTGTAAGAGATCCGTCACGTCCACCATAAAGAAGGTGAMRTYRTCCTGYCGAATGAAGTGAGCGAACTGCCGAGGCGAGGTGACAGTGATAGAGGGAGATGGTGTGGGCACTGAAGGCTCCGGGGGAGGAGGATCGGGGCGTGGTGTCGTCGTGGTTCCTATGAAAGGTACGCGATACGTCTGTCCACACTTCGTTTTSAGAACGAGAGTGTTGGTCGCCCAATCGGCCTCGGTGCTGCGGAACCGACGAGACCACGGAGTGCCGAGAATGAAGTCGTACCCCGTCTCCATCACATCGAAATGTGCAGAGGAGCGGTGGCGA